GTGACGGCAAAAGAGAAAATTGCAATAGACAGAAATTGGGTCTTTGACAATCAATACATGATACTGCACGAGTGGAAAGATAAATTGAAGGGATCTGATGCTTGTTTTGACACTATTAATCTGTGGGTACAAATGCACAATGTACCTCTGAACTGGTTGTGCACGGAGGTGGGATTAAAGCTTAAAGCTATGTTCAAGGGTATCAAAAATGTCCATATAGCAAGAGCAGGCAACCAAGGAGGGAGAGTCTTAAAAATCCTAACTACTCTTAACTTATCTGAACCGATTCCTAGATGGGCGAACATTCGACTGGGAAACGATGTGGTGCTGGTTCATTTCAAATATGAGAAACTCTTGAACCTTTGTTATTATTGCGGGAAGATTGGGCATTTGGACAAGACTTGCAGGAAAAGACTAGCTGATATAGAAAGTGATGAAGTTAGGGAAGGGCAGTATGGTGAATGGGTCAAAGCAGCAGAAGGGGCATACATGTTAGAGGCTCAAACAACTAGCAATCCATCAGCTTCAGAGGGTAAACAAGAAACTAGTACTCCAGCTAAAGGGAGTACATCTAGAGCTGAGATAGAAGAGAGGGGATCATCTAATAAATTGACCAGTCTGCGTAGGGGTAATCAGCTGATTAAGGAGACAGAGATGAATCAGTGTGGCAGAAAACCAGTATCAAGCTTAGTAGGTGAAAGGAGATTGACCATCTTTGAGGATGTAATGCCGACTATCCCTGAAGCTCCCCAGCAGACTTTGCTTGTAGTGATCCAACATACTGAGATGGAGTTGAGCCAGACTGATAACCTCCAAATAATCAAAGCAGATGATGGGGACAAAGGAAAGCAGATCAGAACTTGGAAAAGGAAACCTGCCACTGAGGGCAGGTTACAGAGAAATCAAAGCCAAAAGGGGGAAGAAAGCAACAAGTAGTGAAAAAGAGGCAAAAGCCAGAGGATGTAGCCTTTAACCTCCAACAGAATGATATTGGAGTAGAGGAAGAGAGAAAGAAGAAAGCAAAGTCACAAGGAGATTTGGTGGAGGCAGCCAGCCATGAATGGCTCCACCCTTCCCAATGAGGGCTATGGTGTGGAATTGTAGAGGGCTGGGTGGGCCCTCTACAATTCCCCAATTGCGAGAGTCTATAATGGCTCATCACCCAACTTTTGTATTTTTATCAGAAGTTAAAAAGCAGAAAGTTTTTGTGGGAAAAGTGTGCAGTATGTTAGGGTTTGAGGATAGGTGGAACTATTGGGATCCTAGTGGGACCAGAGGTGGTTTATTATTATGCTGGGATAAGGAGACAGAGATCACTCAAATGATAGGCAATGAGTATAGCATTCAAGTGCAGTACAGGGTGCAACCTTCAGATAATCCAGAACGGGCCGTTTTTGTGTACATAAGCACTATTAAAGCAGACAGGGAACAACAATGGCTAGCCTTGCTAAGGGATAAAGCACAATGGGGAGATGACTGGGTAGCAATTGGGGACTGGAATGATATTTCATGCAGTGAAGAGAAATCAGGTGGAAGAGTAAGGCCAGACAGAAGCTTCCAAGGGTTTAATGAATTCATTGCAAATATGGGGATGTCTCAAATCCAGATGGAAGGCTACCCATTTACTTGGGGAAACAATAGAGTAGATGAAGGCTATGTTGAGGAAGTTCTGGATAAGAGATTTGGATCTTTAAGCTGGACAGTTACTCACCCCCAAGCTAGAGTGACTAATATTTTCAGAAGTTCTTCTGATCATGGGATGTTGCTGTTGAACTCAGAAGACAAACCAGTGCCAAAGAAGGCTAGATTCAATTTCAATAAGAGGTGGATTCAGAGAGAGGGTGTGCAAGAGATAGTGGCTACTGCCTGGAAGGAAGACAATCAAGGTACACCTTTTTCCGTTATCAAAGATAAAGTGAAGAAAGCTAGACTTGCCCTGTGTAAATGGAACAAAGATATGAATAGAGGGAGAAAGGGCCTTATTGATAGATTAACTTTATCTTTGGAAGAAATGAGGGCTCTTGGAGGTGGCAGAAATTGGAAAGAGTGGAAGAAGCTAAAAACTGAACTTGATGCAGCTCTTATTTCTGAAGAACAGTTCTGGCAACAAAAATCTAGGATAATGTGGCTCAGAGATGGTGACCGCAATACGAAATTCTTTCATGCTATGACTGTTCACAGAAGAAGGAGAAATGCTATTACAAGGCTGGTGGAGGATGGAAGGATCTTTGATTCTGTTCAGGCCATTGAAAATCATGTGCTCAATTTTTATGACAATCTTTTTGAGACAGAGGGATCAAGTGGGGATGAGGAGGCACTTAGTAATATCAGGCAAGTCATTAATCATTCCATGAATACTGAGTTGACAAGGGAAGTGCAGGCTGATGAGATCAAGCAAGCTCTATTTCAAATGAATCCTCTGAAAGCCCCTGGAGAAGATGGCATGACAGCCCTGTTCTACCAACATTTTTTGCCAGTGATTGGAGATGACATTTGTAAGGCAGTAACTAGCTTCTTTGAGTCAAGTCAGATGCTCAGGTACTGGAACCAAACCTTGGTTGCCCTAATTCCAAAATGCTTTAATCCCACATCTTTGAGTCAGTACAGGCCAATCAGCTTATGTAGTGTGGTTTACAAATTGGTACCAAAAATCCTGGCTTCCAGATTAAAATGTTGTCTTGGTGTGTGTGTGAACAATGCACAAGCTGCCTTTGTCCCAGGAAGACAGCTTCTGGATAATGTTGTGCTTGCTCAGGAGGTTTTTCACTACATGAACAGGCACAGATCTGGACAAACTGCTTTATGGCTCTGAAGCTGGATATGCTCAAAGCATATGATAGAGTGGAGTGGGCGTGTATTCAGAAGATTATGGTGAAGATGGGGTTTGCTAATCAGTTTATCAAATGGGTAATGGCCAGTATCACTACATCTTCCTTTTCTTTTCTGGTGAATGGCAAGACTGTTGAGCAGGTACATCCTTCAAGGGGGCTGAGACAAGGGGACCCTGTTTCCCCTTATTTGTTTTTACTAGTGTCAGAAATATTCTCTTCACTCATTCAACAAGCAGTGGACAGAAATCAGTTCAAGGGGCTTAGAATTTCTAGAGAAGGACCAACTTTGACACACCTGCTTTTTGCTGATGACTCTTTAGTGTTTTGTAAAGCTGAACCAGACCAGGCATTGAGACTGCTTCATATTCTGGAGATTTATCAGAGGTTCTCAGGCCAAAAGGTGAATCTAGCTAAATCAACAATTTTTTTCAGTAGAAATAGCACAGATCTTAAGAAACAGGCAGTGTGTGCTATCTTAGATGGGATTCAATCTCAGACATCTACCAGGTATTTGGGGCTGCCACTGGGAATAGGGCATTCCAAGAAAGAGGCATTTGATTTCATTCTCCAAGCAGTTAGAAAGAGATTAATCAGTTGGCAAAACTCTTACTTGTCAATAGCAGGCAAGGAAGTTCTTGTAAAGGCAGTGATTAATGCTCTTCCTGTGTTTGCAATGAGCTGCTTCAAGCTACCTATGGCAATATGTGCTGAACTGAGTAGAATCACTGCATCATTTTAGTGGAGCAAAGGGGCTAAACAGGATAAAGGGATTCACTGGAAGAACTGGAACAGCTTGACTCTACCTAAAGTGGAAGGTGGCTTAGGTTTTCAGGATTATAAGATATTCAATGAGGCTTTAATCTTGAAATAATTGTGGAGAATAACTACTGAACCGGAGCTGCTCATTAGTAAGGTGCTTAAGGCAAGATATTTTCCTAAGTCATCCATTTTGAAGTGAAGAGGGTGCAGACTGCCTCATGGCTGTGGAATAACTGGGCAGAGTTAATCCCTTTGTTTGCTAAAAGGCTGAGCAGAGAGATAAGAGATGGAAAGGATACCAAAATCTTAGATCATAGCTGGGTTCCAGAGCTTGTTCATAAATGTCCACAACCTTTGGGGCACTGGAGACAGACTCTTACTTGGGTCAATGACTTAATGAGTGTTGATGGATGCAGCTGGAATGAGCAATTACTTACAAGGGCTTTTTCAGAAGCTGACAGGCTAGCCATTCTTAGAGTACAGACTCTTAAACCTGATCAACCTGATAGATGGAAATGGAGTTTGGACAAACAAGGGAAATTCAAAGTGGCAGGCTCCTATCAAAAACTCATGGATGAAAAAGTTCTCAGAATGGATATTGCACAGTGCAGCTCAACAGGTGGGAGAGATAAGCAAATTAGACAGAGGAGCTGGAGAATGAGGGTTAAAGGGAAATTGAAACATTTCATTTGGAAATGCTTTAATGGAATTCTGCCAGTCAGTGTAAATGTAAGGAGAAAGGGTGTTCAAATTGATGTTATATGCAGGCAATGTGGAGAACAGGAGGAAACCATTGAACATGTTTTTTTCAACTACCGGAGAGCAAAATCAGTCTGGAAGAAGGCACAAGTAGAATGGGATGGAGTGCTGCATGGAGAATTATCCTTTAGACTTTGGTGGTGGCAGGTATGCTCTACTGATACTTCGATCATTTCTGAGGATCGCATTCAACTCAGCACTTATATTCTTTGGTGGCTATGGCGATCCCGAAATCTTTGGTTGTTTGAAAACGTTTGGATGCCTGATGAAGTCCTGATTAGGGGTGCATGGAAGGAGTGGCAAGAGTTTGTTAGGGTCTCGGCAGTGGAGCATGCTCGGCCTTAGTGTTTGCTGTTTGTTTCAATTTGTTGCTGGTTTTTTTCTTTCTTTTTCTGTTGGTTTAGGTTCTGTTAGTTCTTAGCTTGTTTTTGTTCGGTTTGTTTGGGTGGTTCTGGTGGTTTAACGACTTTTGGTTTCGGGGGTATGTCCCTGCCAAAAGTTTCGTTTGATTGGGTTGTGTTTCTAGTGCACTCAATTGAGAGTGTCACTCCCATTGTGTTTTATTTTCGGTCTGTTTCCGGCTTGTACTGAACTTTGAATTTAGTGTGATGGAGTTCATCTATCGTTTGGAAAAAAAAAAGNTTCGAGCGGACATATTTGTACACAAACACGCCCTAAGCACATTAGCTGCAGCACATTAATCGCAACTAGAGAGGGCGAGAGAGATGGAAGGACTAACAGAAGAGGAAAAGAAGGCCCTGAGAGGAAGCAAATTCGCTCCTCTACCGAATGCACCCAATCAAACCCGACCCAATCCCAGGTTCTTAAGTTCGCTCACATAATATACACATCATATGTGCGCATCAACCCAAATAAGATGTTTCCATTGCTTTGCAAAGAGTTCGAGCCTGTGTTTGTACAACTTAAGAGTTCGATCCTCTGTTGTACATCTCATGATTACGCAAACTAATTTGTTGAATTTGCTTATGTTTATGCAATTTGGACTTTTTATTCGCATAATTAGGTTTTTTTAGAGATATATTACTTATCTATGCCTGAAAGCGATTAAGCTTGCTCATCTTCCTGATCTTGCACAGGATGTTTTAAGATTTCATTGGCATAATTTTTACGGAAGACTAGTTAGTAGTTTCTAGAATAGTAATGTTGGCTTATTTTTGTGAGATCCTTGGTTTGGTGACTTTTATTTTGGGTTTTTTTTTTTTGTATTGTTTTATGCAGCAGTGGTGTGTTGAATGTTTTGTTATGTGTAGGCAGGCACACCCTGGGGGGCCATTGAAGACGAACAAGGCAGCTGCTTTGGCTAAATTTCTGGAAAGAAAGCTTCAGGAGCCAAATGGGTTGGCTTCTGTGGATCCAAGGCTTGTTGAATTAGCTGTGAAGAATGCCAAACAGACTGTTCAATGCAGTATGAAATTCTCTGTTCTCTTCACTTGCTTCAAAGCTTATAACTTTATTTGTTCGAGTTCCCATTGTTAAAAGTTGATATCTTCTACTATTTAGAGCTTAGGTCTTGTGGTGAATCGTAGAACTCTAAAATGTTTGGTGGTTTTGAGAAGTTTGGTGACCTGCGTTGTATTGTTGTAAGTGTTAAAAAAAATGGACTTTGGTTTATTGTTACTCGAGAAAATCAATTATGAGAGATCACTAGAGGGCAGAATTTTTGTTATTTGTTTTTGTGATGGAGTACACATTTCTGGATGCTGGCATGATACATCTCAGAATTGGTCATTTTTGTTATCTAAATTGCTGAAACTCATCAGTCATTTATGATACTTTGTCTGGAAGGTTGTCTTATTTTCATTTAATTTTATCTACGGTTTTATAATGCTTTATTTTGTGTTAGACCATGATATATAAAATTAGATACACTCATACAAGCTTGACCTTAGTTTGAGTTATCAAGGCTTTCCTTTTTGAAAATATAACTATATGTTAAAAATAATTCTTCAGTGATCTTTTACTACAAACTTGATATTTGATTCTTCATTTCAAACTATCCTGCTCCTTATAGTTGTATTGTATGCGTTTTCTGTTACTTCCATTTCCATTTCCATTTCATCTCCAATATTTCACCGAAGTAACTTCCACTCCATCTGCCTATCTTAAGAAGAACTTGAAACATATTTCTGTTATACTTCGGGAGAAGTTGAACAGAAATTTCTTTGTCAATTACTTAGGTTGTTGGAAAGATTACAATATTTGAAGAAAAGTGCAGACTTCTCGTCAGAAACAGGCTTCAGCTTTTGTGCTTGTATCTGATAGAAGCGGATGTTTAAATTATGTCATCTATTTATGCATAACAGAAATCTGAAAAACTTTAAATTTGATGTGTGTTATTTTCTCTTGGGACCCTCATTTGAATGAGGGAAAAAGGATTTTCATCCATGATATGTAAATTGTAAATGACTTTGTGGCATATTCAGCTGTACAATCTTTGTATAAAGACACATCTTCATCTTTGCTTAATAAGACTGTTAACCATCCCTTTGGAATTTATGTAGGTGGAACTTCAACATCAGGAAGAGTAATTCATCATGTGGATTCTTTTGGAGACCTTGAGGTAGATTTGCAGTATATATAATGAGTTTCATTTTCTTACGTACTGCCTCTGACTACCTTTTTGCGAATTTGACAGGACTCCGATGGAGAAGAAAAAACTGAAGCCTATGTGTCAAAGAGGCAGAAGAAAAAGAGAAAGAAGCAAAAGAAACAAAAGAAAAAGGTAAATGCCATTTATTTGGCATTTTTATGATAGTTTATACTTTGGTGTATATATATATATTTGGCTGAGGGACACATTGTCATCAATTTTGCAGGAGTTGGATAGCTCAATTACGGATATATCAGAAGCACAAAAAAAGAAGCTGAAACTATGACACTCTCAAAATTTATCAGGTCTTAGATTCTCCACACCCACCAGCTTTTAAAAGCGATGTTTTTTAAACTCAATTAGTATGTTGGGGTCGACAGAAAGCATAGATAATTTTTCTTGTTTGTATCCATTTTCCTCTTTTTGTTCATACTTTCCTTTACGAAATCTAGTTTATCCCACATTTATTCGTTCCTATTTTACTTGGTGGAGAGGTGTATTCCACATTGATAAGATCAAGTTGATAAATCTAGTCAATTGAGCGTAGCGTCCTACTTGCTTTCCTCGACAACGATGTCAAATTTGTTGTAGCAAATATTATTTTACCGAGTACGGATTGAATACTGACCTCAGATCAATCTCGCGAGGAAGATGATTCGGAATCTAGAATTAGTACCGATCACACAACAAAATAAAATAAAGTCCAAAACATTCCTATCACGATTGATGATCTCAGACTACCATGAACTAGAAATATGATTAAATAACTCTAAAATAAATGAAGAATAGAAGGTCTAGGGAGTCAGGGATAATCATTTTCAGTTCCAGGCGCGAATACCGAGCAATTATTTATTTTATTAAATGGTTTGACAAGCCTACACGCTAGAGATTCATTCTCAATAACTATATGTAACATGAGAACAAATATAAATGATCGTTCATCAAATCAGATAAGACATATCCAATACAATTACGGACATGCCTACCATATACGAGCCTAGATCAAATAACTCCTCTCGTTTCGATTTTAAATTTTATTTAGCTAAATTAGATGATAATCAATCTGGTAACCATGAGACTCAACCAACTCGCACAAGTTGAAAAATTCAATAGCCAAATGCACACAAAGAACCAAAACATTTATCCATATCCTAGGTGGATGAATTAAATCATGCTCGGATTGAATTCCATATTAATCAAATTGAGAACTCGCGTTCAATCAACAATAATAATAAAAAACGAAAAATACAATAATGAAATAGATCACAAGAGTTAGTTACTACTACATGTTTGGCTCTAGCAAATCAAGCACAAGAAAAAAAAAATAAAAAAAAATAGAGAAGATCCTAAGAAAAACTACTACCATAAGGTTTTGGATTTTGGGATCCATTGAATTGTTCCTTGCTATTCTTGTTATGTCGAAAAAGATACTCTCATGATATGGTACAAGTCTCTATTTAAGCAAGTTCAAAACAGGGTTGGAAAACAATCTAGATACATTAATGTAAGTCTCTCACCGCGTTGTGACCATCTTTGTGCCATGACGAGTGGACTCTAGAAGGTTGTGAAGTTGTTCACTCTATGACGAGTTTGTCGCGCCGGCTGTGAGCACCTTCACTTCGTGACAGATGGATTCCACCAAGCTATTTGTCACGCTGTGAGCACTTTCGCGCCATGACAAGTGGGTTCCAACAACCTATTGGTCATACCATGACATTTTGGATGGGCTTTTGATTGGTTGGTGAAGGGTGCTTGTCGAGGATCGTTCGGCCGACCAATGAAGTTTTCGTGACGGTTTTTTTGATGAAATTATCCGGGTAGTATTTTTTTTTTACAAAGTAAGATATAAATATACAAAGCAAGAAAATATCACAAAAACACAAAGCGAGCAATATCAATCTAATGGACCGAAAAATCTTTAAAATGAACTTAAACCAGACCTATAATGGTATGCAAACGACCTCAACCGACTTGAACGACCTTGGATCCACTCTCGATCGGTTCAAAGACCTGTAAAATAGCATCGGAAGTGGTCCCGGCGTAGACTCCAAAGATCGCATCAGTATGTGTATGAAGAAGACAATGAACAGGTAAGAATTGTATGTAGTTTGTATGTATAGTAGAGCCTGTAGAGTGTAAGTGATCATACATCACCCTTTTATATGAGAGTGTTACCTTGTTGCCCAAGACTGCCCGACTGGGCTGCTCGAGTGTCCGAGCTACCCATTCATAATGCCCGTATATCCAAACTGCCCGTTTCTATTAGCCCACGTGGTTTTATCCACGTGTGGTTCTTATCTTAAAAATATTCGTTCTTATCTTTTATGTAGGGTGTTCACATTAGCATACATCATTAAACGGTCTAATTGTGCGACCAACTCGGCTTCCTATGAACCAAGTTGCTCTGACCTCCAGCATAAAAACTTTGTCTCTTAGGTTGCACCATCGACCTGCAAGCCTCCAGATCGTGTTTCAATTAGACTAGGCGAGAGCCCTAGCTCGACCTGTTTCTGTGATCTCTTACCTGTGAAGTCACCATCGACCAGATGACTTCGACCTCTGGTGTCCTCAATCTTCAGCCGACTTGTCGGTTCACCTAGTTTAGTCAGACCGTTCTTCAGGTCGTACTCGACTTGGTATGATTTCTCATATCATATAAAAACACCAAAAATAATAACAAAAATATACTAAACAGTAGATAACACCGATAAACATATTTCAACTACAAGTGAAAAGATTTACCTCTATTTTAGTTTTTAGGAAGAGGACAATTAGCCTTCAAGTGTCCAAACTTCTTGCAAATGAAGCACTTTCCTTTTGAATTTTTCCTAATCCTTGATGTGCGATTGCTCTTTGGCCGCTTTTATTGGATTCTCTTCTTCTTACGACGTTGCAGCCTAGAAGATGAAGGACCAGCCTTTTTGGACACGTAAGTTGGGGTCTCTGACAAAATAGTCTCTCAGTCACTTGAAGTTGGGACAAAATATCTATCAACGAATACAACTTCTTTGTTTACATTGTAATTCAAGCGAAATTGTTCAAAACTTCTTGGCATACTCTAGAGGATGATATTGACCTGGTTTTTTCCGTCAATAATAGCTCCAATGACATCCAGCTAATCAAGTTGTATCATCATCATAAGGACATGATCTTTTATGGGAGTTTCCTCAGCCTTGACAGTCGTCATCAAGATTCTTATTGCTTCTTGCCACACAGGCCGAGACTGATGACCTAATGTCAAGTGTAGTGCGACATCAACATCAAGCCATGGATATTTCTTATGAGAATATGCTTAATCTCAAGGAACTTTTCGGACACCAGAATCGAGCAGTCAAGCAAGAGGCTATAAGAGTTTTGATGAGGACCAACATCGTTAAGGGAACGTCTGTTGTTGTAGTTTATTTTGCCGGAGCAGAATCGAAAGATTCGAACACCGGGTCGTGTCTCTCGAGGAAGGCGGTTTGGAATTTAGAATTGGTATTGATAACACAAAAAAGAAAAATAAATCCTAAACACTCTAATCAGATTTGGGAGGAATTAACTATCAACTAAGAAATAGCATAAAAGTATAAATCCTAAAATACCAACTAAATAATAATAAATAAACTAGGGAATCGGGGATAATTTATTCAAGTTCGCAACGTAAAGCCAGGCAATTGATCGTTCGGTTCGGAATTGACACTCTCGCCTACACGTCTAGCGGTTCACTCCCAATAACTCTTCGTAACAAGGAATTGAACATAGACGAGCAAGTTTGAGCATACAATACCGGCCAAGTATCCAATCCCAATAACTTTTCGTAACAAGGGACAAGACACCAACAAGCATGTATTTCTATCCAAAACCCATAGATTATTCAGTTACGAAATCATCTATCTCATGCGAGCCTAGGTCTACGACTTCTCCCCTTTCGGTTTTAAAAGTCGCTAATTCAATTAGAAGGTATTTAATCAACTAATCATGTAGGATCAATAAACCCTAACTCAACAAATCAATATTCAAGCGCAAAATCGAAGTGTCACTCTTCGATTATATCAATAAATTAACCTAAGTGTCACTCTTAGGTTATATCAAATCTTCAAGCAAGAATTCATCAATTCCTAATTAAATTTACTCGCACAAGAACAAACGAATCAAGCCCGACAAATACACGTTAAACGAGAACAATCATCCCCTATCCCTAGCAATAGGAATTAGCCACACAAAATAAATTCAACACAGTCAATCATTTCTCCCAATTCAACCATTTTCATGAATTAAACAAGAAGAAAAACTTACAATTAATCTCAATCCAAGTGTTGAATCCAAAATACAAGCTTAATTCCTAAAGTGTAAAGAAAACTAAAATGAGAAAGAAATGGAGAGGAAAGATGGAGAGTGGAGAAGAGGTTTTTCGAGCTAGGGAGAGTGGAGAAGAGGTTTTTCGAGGTAGGGTTCGCACCCAATCGCTCCCCTTTCTCCCCATTTCAAAAATCGCAGAAACGGGTTTTTAAAGGTTGAATCATGACCTCCGCGGCCGCGACTTGCCTCCGCTGCCCGAGGTGAAGAAATCTGGACTGCATTGCGCGACTTTATGTTTTGGGCTCGTTTTGGCTCATCCGAACTCGGAATTGAGTTCCGTTTTTTGCTATGCGTCACCAACGAACCCATCTATCCAGTTATGCTCTCAAAACCAACTTTTTCTGAAGAGAAAGTTCGCCCAAAGCTCCTGACCTACACTCCAAAAACGACAAAACACAAAAGAAAACCGGAAAAACAAACGAAAAACACCTAAAGACTCAAGGTGAAGGAAAACACATAATAAAACACGAAACGGACTAAAAACTAAAGAAACGACCTAAAATGGGGGAAAAAGAAGGATAAAATAAACACGAAAAACGCAACAAAAATGAGACAAACATCTGTGATAAATCATGTCTTCAGAATGATTGCTCAATTATGGTTTCATTGTAATTTATGAGAGTAATTATACAACATCATTCCTAAAAATTTTGTGTTTAGGAACTCAAAACCAAAAAATGACAAACAAAAATACATGCACACACCAGATGGGAAGAGGGGGAAAACGCATAACAATCGCACGTGACGTTTAAAACAGAAACGACAACTTTGAGCCCTTCTACCTCCCTCAAAAACTTATGTTGTCTAGCAATGAAAGCCTCCACCATCCGTCGGAACTCCTCATTGCTCATCTCATCCTCCGTGCACGAACAACCACCCCCATCCACCACCGTTGGTCCCTCCGTCCACACTCTCCATCGCTTTTTTCAGGCACTTTTGCTCACGTATGATCGTTGATCCTATCGCTCCTTCTCCATCATTTGTGAAGAAATTAAGATTGGAGAATAAAAGTTGAAAATCTATGTTAAATGATGAATTATATTGGGAAGGGTGAATTGGTTGTGCAATAGAATCATTACTCTAAAAAATCCCATTAGTGGCATTATTTATGGCAATACTCGATCAATATAAAATTATTTACATATTTGAAATCAACATACATATGTAATAAAAAAATATAATTAAGTATGGCTCGTCGCTCTCTTCTTCACCAGATCTGAATCCTCTTTGTCTCCTTCTCTTCTTCTCCATCGAGAAGGTGGCTCGCACTGGGGTGGCGAGCTCAGCACCGACCTTCCCTCGTCCCC